TGACAATCGATTGTCAATTTGGTTTGTTCAGAAACTCCTAAGTTCAGAGAGCCCTGATAATCGATTATTGCCTATGTGATAATCGATTATCGGTGAAGCTAACTCAGACCCAAGAATCCGCAGGGCCTGATAGTCGATTATCACATATGTGATAATCGATTGTCACGCTATGCTGAATCAACTGAGGAGTCCAGCGTGGCCTGGTAGTCGATTGTACTATTCTGTAACTCGATTATCAAGGCACGCTGACTTCCATTAAATCTGTTTGTTTGTCATCAAAACGTTGGAAGTTTTAGAAACGAATGTTTATATTTCCATGCTAGATAATCGAATAACTTACAAGGTTTCAAAACATTTATATTAGCGAGAACATAACTTGATAACATGGACACACGTATGTTGGATGGTTAACCTATGAACATGCATAGTTTCTACGTAGGTTGCGTACGATATTCCTATGAATATAACAACATAGATTATGACTTGATGTTCTAGAACTATAGGAGACAACTACTCACCTCTAAATGAAAAGGGGTTGATGAAACGGAAACAAAATGAATGAACGGCGCCAACAAACTGACGAACGATGCACAACGAACAGCCTCACGCATAGACCTTCTTCCCTTCTTCTTCTTCACTTCCTCGCCGGAGACAACCACGCCTGGTTGCTTCTATGTTTCGGCCGAATGCAATGGGGGAAGAGAAAGTGAGTGTGTGAATATTTGGGGGTTACAAAGGTGGTGGAAAGTGAAGAGGGGAGAGGTTATTATATATTGATTTGAGAACTATGGAGAATTGATGGGGAATAATGATGAATTAAAGTTGATGAGCAATTGGAAAATAAATGGGTGGTGTGGTGGCGTGTGGAATGGGAGTTACTTCCCATAAATTCTACTCCGTTATGTAAAAATCTGACCTGAACGGTACACGCTTTTTCCCCCGAACGGGTCCGAATTGAAAACCGTTTACGTTTTTGGAATCAGAAAGTCAAAACAAATTTAATGACGTGTTCAAATAATTTTTCTAAGAACTTTTATTTTCACCAATTATGGACCGGAACAGTAATTAATTATTTCAAATAATGAATTCTAATAGACCGGGTTGTAGGGCGTTACAACTGAAACCGATTGAAACGAGCTAGAAAAAAACCGAACCGAAAAAACCGAAACCGAATGTAAAAAAACCGAACCGAACCATTAGTGTTTGGTTCCGTTTTGGTTTTCAATTGGAAAAACCAAACCGAATCGAATAAACCGAACTTTCTTAGATACTTCGCTTTTTTTATATAAATATATGTGATATGTAGAAAAATTATAGAAATATAAATGCAAATAAATTACTAGTCGATTAAAATTATTTTCTTAACTGTTAATTAAACATTTTAGCCATACTATTATAAACTTTTAAAAAATCTAAGAATATAAACACCAATAGCTAATCCAAATATAGAATTATATTAACATTAATTATTGATACGAGTAATTTACATATTTACATAAAAATACTTTGATGTTATAATGAAAATGAAAGTATTATACCAAAAAACACAAATTCTTTGTAATTAATTTTACATACGATGTCTTTGTAAGTATTTGGAATCTCCTAAATGTTTGTTGGATACCCAACACATAATTTTTTTTATGTAAAATTGAACCGAATGATACTATAACCTTCCGTTTGATTTTTGTTTTTTGTGTAGAACTCAAACCAAAAAAACCAAACCTAACACAACATGTTGTTATTGCTCCATCGAGTTAGTGTTTTTACAATTTTTTAATGCTTATAAATTTCTACTTTTATAAACCAAAAAAACTGAAAAAAACTGAAATAAAAACCGTATAAAACTGAACCGAATAACCAACGGTTTACATATTTTTTATGCAAAACCGAACCGAACCGCCAATTTACCTTCCGTTTTGTCTTTGGTTTTGGGTGAAAACCGAACTGCAAAAACCGAACCCACCCCTAGTTCAAATTTGAAAAAAAGATATTTATTTTGGGCCGAAGCCCAAACCCAACAAGAACAAGCAAGCCCAACTATCCTCCCCTCCTTCCACTTTATCTTCAGATTTACGCACACAGAAAAAGAACGGAGAAAAGAAGTCTACGACTTCTTCGGCAAATTATATGGTACATCCAGCTGTACCTTCCTTTAGGTACATCTTGGTATTTTTGTAAATTTTGCAAACCTTTTATCCAATGCCGAGAACATATGTATGATAACTATTATATATGACAATGAGTACCAGCAGATTTGAGAAGGAGTACCAGCACTTATGAGAATTATCATATTCTTATTCAATACAAACATGAATAAACATGGGTTTTTAATTCTCCATGCTCAAATAGTATAAATGAGTAGGAACGAATCGAATAGAGGAAGAAGTTGATGATGGTACTGAACTTTTTAATTGTGAAAAAATTTAACAATACTTTATTTCAGAATGAACACTTTCTTATTTGAGAATGAGCATTGTTTTTTTAATAATGAACACTACGC